GATAATATCAAAAAGAATAAATAAGAAAAGAATAATAATAATATAAATGATAATCAACTATAATTTGTTTCTACTTCAATTTATATTGTATTTCATTTATTGTGTTTTTATTTCATTCACCACCATTCAAAACATTTTCTTGGTATTCTTTCATTTTTCATTAATTCTTCTTCACATCCACATTTATAAAAACATCCACGTACAAATGATGTAATTGATGATGGTATATTAATTGTTGTTAATGATGTACATCCATAAAAACACCAACTTCCTAATTCACTAATTGATGATGGAATAGTAATTGATTTTAATGATTTACATTGTCTAAAACATTCACTTCCTAATTTACTAATTGATGATGGTATATTAATTGTTGTTAATGTTGAACAATATCTAAAACAATAATTGTCTAATTTAGTAATTGAAGATGGAATAATAAATTTATTAATATCTTTCTTGAAAATATTCTTTCCATTGATTATTTGTATATTATCTGGTATTTCAATACTAACTAACACTGGTTCATTCATAAATATTCTATCTTCACTAATAAATTGTAGATTTTCTATATTCATTGATGTTAATGATGAACATCCTGAAAAACAATAATCTCCTATTCCACTAACAGATGTTGTTATAGTAATTGATTTCAATGATTTACATGCATCAAAACAATAATTTCCTAATTTATTAATTGATGATGGTATATTAATTGTTGTTAATGAATCACAATTATAAAAACATTTATATCCAAGTGATTTAACTTCTGATGGTATTGTATTTCCATATTTATTTCTATCTTCATATGTATATTCAATATTTTTATATACACTCCATTTTTCTTTCTTTTTTAAATATTCTGAATAACTTACTAAATACCATATTACATATTTAAATACTCTTCTGTCATCAAATTCTTCATCTTTTTCATTATAAATATGAAATGTTTCAATATTAGGAAACAACTTTCTTGAGTGTTCATTTAAAGGAATTGGATTAAAATGAAATCGTTCCATATTTCCTTGAAATCTTTTAATTCCTATTTCTAAATTAATAAAATCTTTAATATCATCAAAATACATTGATGTTATCATTATTTCATTATATCCTAATTTCATTATTGATTGTTTATTTATTTATTGTTTATTAGTTCTTTTATTTTTATATTTTAATTTCTTCTTTTTTATTATTTTATCATCATTCTATTTTTATTAATTGATATTTATTATGAAAAACAATAAATAATAAGAAATAAAATAAAATGATAATTATTTTTATTTTTAATAAATTATAATTATTAAATATTTCATTTTATTTTATATTTTATTCATTATTTCATTTTATATTTTATTTTTATTTAATAATATAATAATAAAATATGATAAATGATAATAAATATAATAATAATAAATGAATAATCAATATATTTATAATAAATGACAATATAATTAATGATATAATTAATGATAAATAATTATGAATTCATTTATTCTATTATCTTTTATTTTTATTCATTCTTAATTTATTCTTTTCTTTCTTTATTTTTATTATTATTTTATATTTAAAATGATTATTTAAATAAGAAATAAATAATAATAATAATGTAATGAATAAAACATAAATAAATGAATGTATTAATTGATAATTTAAATTAAATAATAAAATATTTATATATTATTTCAATAATTAATAAAATATGATAAATTAAATAATAAATGATAAATATAATATTCAAATCATAAATTATCAATGAATAAAATAATATATCAAATAATGAAGAATGATAAATAAATGAAATAATAAAATATAAAATTATTTAATTCATATTTACATTCATTTATATTAATTTAAATCATTTCAATAAATTATAATCAAATAATTATACAACAACAATAATATAAAATATAAATATAAATAGAATATGTTAATAAATAATATAATAATATAATTATAAACAATTTAACATACAAAATAACAAAATAATATCAAATGAAAATAAAAATAAGAATAAATAAAATAAATACAATAAAATGAAATAACATAAACATATAAAATAAATAATAAATAATAA